GCGGTACAAACCATTTGGGGTAGGCGCAGATGGCCGGTGAGCCGGTGGATACGGGGGAGCCGCTAACACTATTCACCGTTAAACCCGTTTTGTGCGAATACTAAAATGGATGGAAAAATTTAAACAAAAATTTAGAAAAAATCACAAAAAGCCCTGCTAGTGCTTACCAGCTCCGCTGTGACTGGCTTAAAGGCGCTCCGTATGGGCGTTGCTTTTATTGCTGTTGTTGCGTTAATTGTTGTACTAGCTGTGGCAGTGGTTGTTGCTTCGGTTAATGTGTTACTAAGTGCAGGTGTTACACTCTCAATTGCGCGCACCAAATCCAAGTCACAACGCTTCAATATCAATTCTAGTACGGAGCGTTTTCGATGCGGAAAAAGTTGCGCCAACATATCGATAGCGCTCTGTGAGACCACCACTGGAGAGGGTGGGGTGGGTGTTGAGCCCAACGAAGTTGCTGAAAATTATTAAAAATAAACGATCCACCATCCATATTTGTGCTATGTGTTACTGCATATGATGAGCTTTAATAAAACATTCACGTTTCTAGCGAATGGATACAGATAATCAACGTGATAATCAAAAAGAATAAGGGAAGTAAGGAAGTACTTGACTCCTTGAACTACAAACTTCTGCGGAATTGCTTTGCTCATTATTATTATTATTATTAGTATTAATAAAAAGGATAATACAATTAAACCTTAACAATACAAAAAGTATCAGCATTAGCAACTAAGGCCATCAGCTTAACTGCTCATTATAAAAATTGAAATGAAGGATTGAGAATATTTTAAACCACTTCTGTGTGGCTCAGACATTTTTTTGTAGCTTTCGTTAAAAATTTAGTGTGGGTAATGAGTTACATGGGTTTGCGGGTTTGAAAAAATCGAAAAATATGCGATATCTTATTAAATTCTACAACATCTCTTAAATTTTCCTGTTGATCCGAGTAATAGTTTTGGAGACAACCTTGAACATTTGTGCGCTCGGGGCTAGCTAGGCTAAGTGCACCGTCTTTAAACGAATTTTTCTCGAAGTCGGTTGGCGAGATTTCTCGAGGAATACTTATTTGATCTCCATAAAATTTTACAAAGATCTTTGAGACACAATTCTTAAAGACATGGACGAAAGATTTTTTTCGATTACAACTACTTGATAAAAATATCGCGAAGTTTTCATTTTTTTTGTAAAAATGTCTACTAAAAATTAAATTTTCAGTGTATTTTTCCTTCGTCCAAGTTCTTAGTTAAGGTTTCAGCTAAAACGCTTATTTTTCACTTTAGATGATCCTGTAAAGAGTTATTCTGCCCCCGTGGGCGCATCTTTTTTCGCAGGGGTCACCGCAAATGGCCCAGTTCAAAATTCTTTTTTTCCAAAAATTTCAAAATTTCTTTGTTAATAGTGTATGTTTGTTTACAATAAAAAATCTAATAAAATATTTAATTTTTTATATGAAACAAAAACTAAAAAAAAACTGTTTTAACTGTCTTTGCAAAAATTTTGTTTCCTAGTATTATCTACATATGTATACATATATTTATAAATTCCTCCAACACTCACTTGTTGCCTCGTGACTCAAACTGCCGCCACAACTGGACGTGCTAAGGTCCTCAGCCATCTGTTGTATTTGTTGTGGTTTCAATTGACGCTTTGTTGGCAACTGTCTGACCATTGCGTCGCCCACCTCCGCGCAATCATTTAAGACGCTCGTGGATAGACCAAAGATTTGTCCCTCCGGCAACGCATCCATTTGTTTGCCCGTCTTCGTGGCCATCAGGCGCAGTGCAATGGCATTCTCCACCGCCTGTTGACGCTTCAGGGCAACCTGCAAATGTAGAAAAAACACAAACTTTCACGGATATAAACAAATGGCTTAGTGAATAAATATGGTGTGTAAACATAGTCGCAAATCACTTATGCACACACTCACACACAAATATATGTACATAGATACAAGTATATATGTATGTATGTATATATAAGAGTAGACAACGTTGGCTCACATTTTATTCGGTGTAAAGTGAAATTAATATGCGACACAGCGGACACATTTCACCATACCCGCTCTCCCTTCGCCTACTGGACTTGTTTATGCTTTGCTCTCATATCTATTTACTTTATTCTATTAGCTGCTGTACATTTTGATTGACTTTGGCGTCTCGCATTTCATTAATTTTCACATTCTGGTTATGTGCTGCAAATGACCCATACTCCCATACCGATTTAACTGCATTAATTTCAATTCAAACAATCATGCACTATATATTTGTAGTTAAAATACATACATATATGCATATATGTATATATAAACGTAGGAGTGTTTGTTTCCTTTTGGCAAATAAATGGAATGGAAAGTAGGATTTAAGAAATCTCGACGCTCTTGCCTTGTGGGAATACAAAGTCAACATTGTATACTACACATCAACGGCTCGAGACGACACAGCTCATGGCTTACGGCTTACAGCTTTGTAACTTGAGTAGCCTTCGGCCGATTGATTACTAAACACGAGCGAGGTTTGTGGGAGTACTGAGTAGCTGCGAACACTTGGGTAAACATGGAAATTGAAATTGAAGCATAATTACTGTTATAAATAGCCGAGGAGGCAGACAGTTTGGCAAGAATTTCTTACCATCATCTTTTTTGCGACCAGTGTTTCACTTTATAACTGTTTAAGGTACCGTTAACAGTTTATTTTTTATTATACTAGAGTTTTAAGGTTTTCCAAACAAGAGTTGCTGAACTTAACCGATGAAAATGTATTGAGTTTAGGAGATGCGTAAGGAAAAAATTCAAAGAATTGAACTCGCTGTCGAATTTCATAATTTGATATGAAAATATACGTACATACATATGTACATGTATATTTTATGAATGTTTTTGGAGGAGATATTTTTTTTTATAAATCAATAAATATTATGAATTATCACTGTTTTTTTTTTTTGTACTACTCTCCTAATCGGAGATTCATTTTTAAAATTGACTCTGTTACCTATCGCCAGGAGGATCTACAAAAAAAAACGTGTCTGAAAGGTAAGAAAGACTTCGCTGCTTAAAATTATCTTAAATGCAAAAACTAAAAAACATTATTATAAATATAGTATGATGCAAAAGCTAGTCAAAATTTTAATTTTTGACAAAATAACGGCTTCCAAAAAACTTCGAACCACGTTGCAATTAAAAGCTGTCTTCCGTGAGTTGAAGTTCCATGACATCACTAAATCTCGAAATATATTTATCCTTTTTTCTTCTTCTTTAATAGCGTAGACACCGCGCTTACGCTTATATTTTTACACAAAGTAGCAAATGCTAGTCTATAAAGAAGGCGTACTATCACACAAACATCTTTTAAACCACATTGTATGTTTACAAATTTCTCCTCAAAATAAGCATTATTTACGTAACGTAATTAAGTTAATCATATCACCTGTGCCGCCATAATACGCTGCCGTTCGAAGATTAACACGCACTTTGGACATTTACAATTTTTGTAGGTGCATAGCTTCTTGTGGCCACGCAACTCGGAGATGATGCCATGATTACGGCAACGTGCACATTTTGGCACCCGATTAGCGCCTTTCGAAGGCGCCGGCATTGTATTCACTTTAAAGGATTTATTTAAAATACCGCTACGCGTTTTCTTTGAGCCCATATTTCTATCGGCAGTGGCACTGTCCATTTTAGCCGAAATCGCACTTCCGGTTTAAGTAAAAGCCGTCTATTATGCAAAGACTTTCCAAATGAAACTAATCCAGTCGATTAATTTATATCCGTTGCTAAATATCCTAATGATTTCATCGGCATTTGATTGGCAATTTTTGTGCCTTCTTGTTGCCAATGGTGTACTGTTATTTTACATTGCGCAAAAGTAGGTTGTATACGCACATGGATATCTTTTATTATATCAAATATAAATGCATACATAGCAACAGTCCTTTGCAACGCCTTGAAGGATACATCGTTGTGATTTTGCTACATATACCTTTACGGCAAATATCCTTTTCGCAGTGGCTATTCGTTTCAAGTTGTTTTCTGTATGCTTCTTCCTCCATTCGAAAATATTTGGACACACCCCTCTGTTGTGATTGGTCAGTAAGTTAGGCGTCACCCAGCGATAATCTAAGCCGTTAATCTCTGCAGTATTATTTGTATTGCTCCGTGCAAAATAAAAGCAACAACTTTACACACAGTCGATCATTGTAGGCATAATAATCCCAATAATAACAGTTTTAAATTTTAATATTGATAGAAAATGAAAATATATCAAAGTCAAATGTCGAAAGTCACAAATACACAGTAATCAAAGGCTATAGTGATAATAATATGGACACCAAACTATTCCTTGTATTTTATGCTGTGTTGATGGATTAAAAAGTGCAGAAAATATTTCTTAAAACTTATATTTTATTATTAAAACAAATAACTTCATTAAAGATTATTTCCTTTATTTTTTTTATTATAAATTCTGTACATAGTTTTATTGTAAACATATCTGTCGATATACGCAAATAAGTTAATGTTTAATCGATATTTATGAATCACCTAAATAGGGTTGATCGAAATAGCAAGTGAGTCAGAATATCCAAAGTAATCGGTTAATTTTCAACCGAAGCCAAAATGTATCCATTGCGTTGTTTTTGTTTTGTCCAATTAGAAATCGTTTCCCAACCAAATAGCTTTGTTTAGTATGCTTTATGTATAATGCGCCGTGGCTGGATGACAAGCCAAACAAAAATAAACGACAGTAATGCCAACGCTTATTTATAATAATAAGCAAAACAGAAGCTATAATAAATTAAGATTTTTAAGAGTTTTAAGAATAACAAACTTAATAAAAAGAAGAAAACAAGAAAGGCTGAAGTAGTGGCATATATATAAATGACGAGAATGTTAATGCTAGTAGAAAATTTCATAATTGTATCCCTGTCGTCAAAGGGAGGCAACACCAGCGTGGCGGCCATTCGAGAAGTTTGGCCGACGACAATGCCGAACCTGCAATTGGTTTTCAGTCGGAATTTCATCATCGATAAGTCTGCGTGGAAAATGGAGCGGTAATAGCTAAAGGAATAACAACAGCGAAAAACGCAAAGAAAACGGCCTTTTGTCCGCTATTTCAGCGAATTTTTTTGTTAAAAGCAAAAATTTACCAAACGACGACTTCTACCACTGCAACTACATCCACTCACTACCACCAAAATCACTATCAAAAATAAATACATACATCCAAGCAGCAGCAGCAACGTTGACGTGAGCAGAATTTTGTGATGAAAAAAGTTAATGGTCAAACAGAATTAACTGCCACAGCGTATACAGCTAAAGCACCAGCAGGAAAAACAACCGAAACAATCTTTCCTAAATTAATCATATTGAACGCAATAGAACATCAGGAGCTAGAAAATTTGCAATTTATTCAACATCACCAACAAGCAGCAGAGAAAAATCAAATTGGCGTAGTAGGGGCGTCAGCTGTAGCAGCACTTGAAACGCAGTCGGACGAAACATTTGTTGAGTCGACCGCGGCAGAGCTAGCGGCAGCGAACGCAACAGCAGTGAAAATTTTCCATATTGAAAATTTAAATTTGCAAGGATCACCAAATTCTTCGCTTAATTCAATTGAGATTAATGCGGAATCTTTTTTATGCTACCTTATTTGACTGTTAGTAAAACATTGAGAAAAAGAAGAAGTTAGCTTCTCCGAACACCACCAGTTTTAGCACCAGAAAAAACAATAGCAACACGATTCTTGCTAGCAGTAAAATCCATCACTTATTCAGCTTTAATAGAAGCGATCGTAATTTCATCTGAAATTGAGTACCAATCTATACGTATTCACTATAAACTACAATTTAAGGACACCGTAGTTAAAAGTGGAAAAGTACCTTCAGCATATAGTTTGGGAAATTTTAAAAGAAGCGTCCTGTACGGATTTAAATACATTTTGGCAAATCATTATTTGCTGGTGGAAACCAGCACAACCAAGAGCAATTATTACTTTGAAGACTCCATCCACCATTTTGAACAAACAACAACGCTTTAGTAGCATTCACAGCTGCAGTACAGCTAAAAGTCAACGAACACCCGAACCTCTCGGCAAACGAAAAAGTTGAAGAGGAAGCAGAAGTAGCTGTAGAAGATCGACTGACATTCGGCGTATAATAATTGGACAAGTGAAAAAAATTGAGGAAAGGAAGGAGGTGAAACAAAAGAATAAGCGAAATAAACAAAAAATAAAACGTTTAAAATTACAAACGTAAGCCAACAACATATAGAACGACACATTCAGGCCAGACGGAAACTGGTGTTGCAGCCAACAAGTCGAAGCGAGCCGAAGTGATAGATAGAAATCCACAGACTGTGGTATAGGCCGTGAACATATAGGCAAGCAACTGTGTGTAGATTAAGCATCAAGGAAAGAATAGTTCAGTTGTGTGTTCTTTGAACTTGTTCGGGCTTGTTGTTTTGGAATTTTGTTTCGGAAGCAACTTGAATATATACGTGTAAACGAGTCGTTGCTTAAAGTCAGTGTTCCAACAAGAAAAGTTCCGGCAATATAAAAATAGCAATTCCTCGAAAACTTTCAAACTGAAATTATAAAACTTTTGCAATATCAAAAAATTAAAGAAAAAGTCAGTTCGAGAGAAGTGATTTGTGCTAATATACGTGCCTGAGTTTTTATTTTTTTGAATTTGAGCGATTGATTGCCAATTTAACAAATTCCATTTTGAAATTCTACGCTGATAGAAATCTACCTTCAATAATTATTTTTCACTATATCGCGGACAAATATTATATCGCCAACTTACTACCGCAAAGAATATAAACTACGTAAACACCGAAAACCGCTAACGAAGAAATTGAAGAGAAAAAATGGTGGAACGCATATTAGAGGAAGAGGAGTGCAACAGCTGCGCCCCGTCTGCATCTAATGTTGCCAGTGGCTCCAATGTAAAAACGGACAACAATGGCAAAGCTACTAATTCTGCTGGCAGCGGCAGCGATAGTGGTGTAGGCGGAGGTGGCACTTTCTCTACGGACACCGATAACAGCAGTCAATCAGGTGAGTTCAATAAACCACATACATATTATTGTATGGTTTCTAGTTCGATTCCCAGCTTTTAGAATATTATGTATTACACCTGTATAATAAGTGCTTAGTGTAGTCATAAATATGCATTCCGACACAAACAGTGGCAATTTACGAAACCCACCATTTGTTGCAGTCACCAATTGCTGCTCTTTTTTCCCTCATTGGTTTATATAGCGCTATTTTTCATTAACGGTATATGTATGTACATATGTATATCTGTGTATATATCAGTTAATCTCTTTTGCACAGCGCGCATTTTATTTTAAGTGTTTACGTCAATTCATATGACTGTATTTTAGGAACATTTAATGATCCTTTAAATCATTAAATTCGTAAAATTCGTAATTCATATATTGTTTCTTAGAGAGAAACTTTGTTTTTTCATTAAAATACAGTCATAAAGCTTAGGTTTGCTGTTATATCTAAGTAATTGCAAATATTTTCATACATTTATAGTCATATATTTTATTTTACATAGAGTTTCTTGGAGAAGAATAACGTACATTTCCTATAGCGAACTATATAAGAGTATTGTCAGAAAATTCCTGCAGATATACCACCATAATTGACAGAAAAAAATCAACTAATTGGCTGAGTAGGTGGAAAAGTAGAGTAAGCGAAAAAACTTGTCGCCTCCTTGCGTTGGTCTGTTCTACAATTAGTAAATTTTTTGCCGTGAAAAGTGTGTTGTCTCCAAACAATTACAGTTCTGGTTTATCACAATTTTTTCCTGCTTTTTTGATTTTTGTACCTACATAGCCTTCTTGCTCATTTCAACATGTTTTGCTAAAAGTAGAATACTTTACTGAATAGCACAGAAATTGCAAACTGATGAAATATTGCTGATGAATAAATTTGCAGAAGACAGTAGACGTAAAGGCGCAATTATAGAAATGACTCAGCTCGAATGCGCGATACACATATATGTACATACTATATAGATATGTACATTTACAAATAGAATTAATATTTTTTGAATTTGCTTTGACATTGCATCATACCTACCTGCTTATCTCCCACTTTATTTTGCAATCTCTTCTCGCCATATTAAAGCTACCGCATTTCGAAGCTTGTTTATGAAATTTTTGCAACAAATCAATAAAGCTATACATAGTATATTCCTACTTACTATTTATACGTATGTGTGTTGGTGCTGCATTTCTGGTGCAATGGAACGCAATATACTAACATGTAGCGAAATGCGAACACTAAATAAAAATGCATGTATACCGAACATGCACAGATAGCAAATAAAAGGAAACGTCATATTCAGCGGCACCTGCCTGCTGCCGCCGTTGGCTTCGCAGTTTTTCTATAACGCCGCAGCTGCGGCTGCAGTAGCAGAACTTGCTATTCGCTGTATGTGTCGTGCAGCTTGAGTGCTCAAGTAGCGGCTGACTAACCTTGATGACGTTTATTGCACTCGTGTGCATTTTAGTTGCCGTCAAGATAGAACACAAACAAATGCCTGTAACCACATAAGCGAACAAAAAGAGAAAGAAAAACTAAACGTTGTACGTAAGCATTGGTGACTGACTAGCTGGTTTTGAACAAAATATATACAGTTAGGGACTCAAGTCTTCATACATACCCAAAATTTCATATTTTCGTCAATTAAAGAGTACCAGGAAAAAAATGTTTAAATTAACAAATTCAGTTCTATTTTAATTACTATACGAAAACAAAATTTTTCATTAAACTTTTAAAATAAAGAAAAAAACAATAGAAAACATATAAGAAGAGAGGACAAAAGTGTTCATACATAGCAAAACACATCTTAGTATTTAAAAAAAATATAGTTTTTAAGTTATTTTTTTTTTAATTTAATATTTTCTTGGTCCACCGTTAGCGTCAATCACGGCCTGCAGACGTCTTGGCATTGATGCAACGAGATGTTCGKTCACATCAGGTGTAATCTCGGTCCAGCACTTTTGTAAAGCGTCTTTTAGCTTTTGTTTGTTGGGAACATCAACATGAGCAATTTTTCGTTTTAAAACATCCCAAACG